TCCATGTGAGTGGTATTTTGTTTGGGGATACTATGGTACCCAATATAGAGCAAGATTATATCCTCCTTTTGGGGTATAGTATTTTATATAAGGAATAGAATCTTACTGGGTTCAACCACCCAATAAAAAACGCTACTGACTTCAGTCGGTGTTTGAGATTTGGTGCACAGCAGGCTCAAGTAAATGCATGATTTAAAGTCTCAGCCTCTGCAGGGTAACATTCAACTTCCCGAGCTCTGTGACTTGCTGGAATCGGGTTAATATTGGGATAATGGAGAAGCAAATGGACGAGAAAATGGAAAATTAGATGGAAACTGGGGTTATGAAGGGGTATAGAATACATTTGCCCGGAACCACCCCCCCGACCCTAGCCTCTGGAGCGCGGGAGCGCCTCTGTTTGCCTGGATGGGTTGTTCAGTGTGGAAGGAACCTGCATCCTGCTGCATTAGTCATGCATCAGGCCACTTTCCATAGTGGGTATATAGCGAAATTCATATGGTTCCTCAATGTAGTAGCTTAAACTGAATTCCTTAGCAGCAACCCAGTAAAATTCCCATGCATCTTGGTTCCTCTAGGAGGAATTACATGGGAAGGTTGACGTGGTAAAGATAGGATAGACAGTTAGGCCATCCGCGCTTAAGGCAACAAGTGTAGCCAAGTGGGTCCAGGTAAAAAGGAATATGCAAAATCCATACAGCTTAGGTTAGCACATCAGGGTTTCCTATGCAGGAGTGCATTCAACAGGCATCCTCGCGTGGTTGTATCGCATCGTACTATAGCCAGACAGTGGATTCCTCGGCCATCCCCAAAGCATCCCTACCCCCGTGAAAAGGTCAAGTCTACATTTTCGATACCTCAAACCTTCTGAGTGTCCTAGAGCTCCCAAGCCAGGATCCCGCATATTCCTTACACTCTGCAAGCCTAAACCCTTCATTCAGCTCCCTAAACCAGTAGATCAAATATCCTAAACTAAACCTATAAACCCGCAGCCCTTGAAATCCAGTCCGGGAGCCGTGCGGCCGCCTGCTCCTGGCGGCGTTGGCCGCCGCGGTGGAAGACGAGGCAACGGTTGGGAGCAGGATTTGCAGGGTTTAGGGTCTAAGGATCAAAGTTTAAGGGTAGGGTTTAGTGTCTAGGGTTGAGGGTTTAAGGTTCAAAGTGTAAGAGGCTGGGGGTTTTGGGTTTAGGGTTTAGGGTCTAAGGTTCAAAGTGTAAGAGGCTGGGGGTTGTGGGTTTAGGGTTGAGGGGCTAAGGTTTAAAGTTTAAGGGTTGGGGGTTTAGTGTCTAGGGTTTAGGGTTTAAGGTTCAAAGTGTAAGAGACTGGGGGATTTGGGTTTAGGGTTTAGGGTCTAAGCTTCAAAGTTTAAGGGTTGGGGGTTTTAGCTTCTTAGTCTTTAGCCTTGAGACTTTCATATTAGGCCCTCCAACTCCCACGACCAAGCGTCTAATTTGCAGGGTACTTGGATGGTCTAGTATGGTTTAAAGGTGTTGGAGCTGTGTGCATAGGAGGCTTTAGATGTATACTGCTTGTGGGGGTTTTGGAAGGTCTAGAGCGCCGAAAGGTAGTAAGGGCCTTGGGATGCGGCGGTAGTGAGATTCATTTGCGATGGTTGTGACACCCTAGGGGTCCAAGGACCCAAAGAATGGAGCTTTAGGGTCAAATACTATTCATGTTCTAGTATTTGGGCCCTCAAACCCCTAGTATTTGGGTCCTTGGACCCTTAGGGCCTTAGGGACAACTAAGGTCCTTTTTGCGGTTCTTTTTCCTCGGGTCCTTTCATGTCTTAGGCTTCTGCAGAAGGTGCTTGTTTGGATACATGCGCAAAGGCTCAAGGGATCTTTTAGCATTGAAGGTTCTTTCGTCCGCCTGCATTGAACGCAGGCACTGAAGTTTGAGCAGTACACTTCCATGCATGGGCATGGGGGGCTGCATCCTGGAGGAATTGCTGTTTTGAGCATGGGCGCTGCGCCCTGAACTTCACGGCCAATCACCGTTTCCTCAGGGAGCATTGTCACAGGTGGCCAGGGTTTAGACCCTAGACCCTGGTCTTGGTTTTTGCTTGGGGGGCTGAGGGGATCAGTCCTGAACCCTAATCAAACCATCTTAGCTTCGAGGTTTGGCCGTTCGGCTTTTCCGGTTTGCCTCTTACCACCCGGGAGCTTTTTGATTGAGTGAGGCCTGTACCCAAAACCAGTCCATCCCTCCAAAGCCTCATCCCAAATATCTCTCCCTAAGTGTCCAAGGACCCAAATAATAGGGCTTTAGGGCCCAAATACCATTAATATTGTAGTATTTGAACCCTAAAACCCTATTATTTGGGTCCTTGGACCCTTAGGGTCTAGAGCATTCTAGAGCTAGACAGGGGTACACCTCAGCCCATTCTTTGCTCGAAATGCTTTGAGCCCAGGGCTCCTGTGCTGAGCTGCTGACATTGGCAGTGATGGGTGTGCGCTGCTCGGTGGCATTGCATCTTGCTGCTTCTTCTTGTATGGGCCATGATCTGAGCACTCGTTGATGCTCGTCATGTTGAGCCCCATGTTATCCATATTAATATGATATCTTGCTCTCGTGACAAGAGCCCGAAGACCTTTTGAACGTGGAAGCTATCAAATTGAGGACCACGCAGGCACAAAGCCAGGGTCTTCTGGAACGCAGGGTGCCTTAGGTTCATCTTTAGCAGTTTTCTCACCCGTTGATGTACATGTTGCCCCCCCAAACCAGCAAGGCAACAAGGAAGGCCTTTCCTCCGAATATGTTGAAATTCGTTCCAGAATCTCGCTGTCATTCGCTGTTTCTTGAAGTATACATCTAGGACGACATTGCTCTGACCCGGGTAGCTGTTGGGGGGCTTGCATTCCAGAATGGCTCTGCATTCTGACTTGTTGAGGGCTAAAGAACCAGCGGAGAACCCTGATACCTCAGACGGTAGGCCATGAGAAAATCTCTACCTAAACCTTTCGAGAAACCTATACAGTATTGTAGGCCACCGAAATACCCCACAACAGCGGGTGGTTGGAGCATCTTGCCATGTTATTGGCCTTACCCTATATCGCCTTCAAGCTCTAAACCCTAAAGCGCAACAGCCGCCCTCAACAAAAAGAAATCTAACAGCCCTCATACCCTAGACTCCAGATCACCAAAACTTTCAGGCTTCGAGTTGCCAAAAGTGGGCCTTGAAGCTTTGCCGTTGCAGACCCTCCTGTGCCTCCGCAACTGCGGAGATCGGTGGCCTGGCGTGCTGTCATCAAGAATACTCCCAAAGGGTCCAGGTTCCTCAATAATTAGATACTTGGGTTTTGGGTAACGTAATTATAGTATAGGTTTTGGGTAAGTATATGATTATTCGGTACTTGGACCCTTAGGGACTCTGGGGTGGAGGGTGGCCTAAGTCTGGCAGAACAGGCTTTTTGTTTGTCCAAAGTTTGGGATTGGGGATTAGGGGCGTTGGGCTTTGGCCCAACGTTTTGGGTTTCGGGTACAGGTTATTTCGCAAGGTTTGGGATTTGAGTTCAGGGTCCTGCCCAATGGATCGGGCACATAGATACTTGTGTACGCGGCAAGCACAAGCTTGCATAGGATAGACGGCATCTCTTGAAAGTGGCGCATCTTACCCGAGCCTCCTGCAGAGTCTTGTGAAGTCGCGCAAAGTGGTGCAAAATCCGGAGTTTCCTTGGCAAGAAAAACGTTGTTATAGGGGCTGGGCATGCAATCCTCGTATTCACTACTTTGTCTTGAACACCCAGAGAATCATCGTTCAGCTGAGGTTTGTGCAGTTTGATGTTCCAACTTTTCCCCTGGATGGAGCAGAGCTGGTTCACAAAAGACTGCTGCATGAAGGGGGGGGCAAGCTTGAGATTAGGAGTCTTTTCGCACCCTCAAAACATAATTTTGCATATACCTACTTGCAATCCTTCACCGTGAAGTTCAATGACCCTGGCAAAAGGCTTCTGGATGGTGATGTTTTCAAAGCAGGCTGTCATAAGGGAGTCTAGAGATATGTGGGGATTCTGCGGGATCACAGGAGTCCCTGGATGCGGTCGGGGGAGGTGGGATGTACATTCAGCTTCCAAAGCACCTTGCAAGTGGGGTTCCAGGACTGCCATGTATCCCTTTGGTTGCTATGGCAGCTTCCTAGGTTCTACGGTTTGGGACTTAGAGTTTTAGGTATATGTAAGGTGCTAGTGTAGCGACGAGAGAAAGGCAGCCAGCTTTTTAAGTCTTAGGGCTTCCTCGGACTGTTCGTGCCGCCGTTAGCAGACTCTGAAACCCTGAGGGAATTCAAGACAGCAACAGTCATACTTTACTGGAGAATCCAAAAATTGAGTGCTTTTTCTTGTATGGGGAGCATTGTGGATGGAAAGAAACCTTGCATCACTTCGGGTCGCTGATCTGTGGTATAGGCTATACAAACAGGTCCTCCATCCAAAGCAACTAAGTGCGAAAGGGATGCAATACACTTTGCTGAAGCTGTAGGAGGCACGCTCCCCTTCTGACTGTCGGCTAGTTTTCACCGGTTTGCTTGTCAATTATAGACTGTCTCTGCGATTGCTGCATGAGGTTGGGTGTTTGTTCGGAGTTTGTTGCTGGGGCTCATGAGTAGGGGGGGGGGGTCACAGGTTCCGGCTGATTCTCCAATGTAGAAAGCCAGGTCCAGATTCTTGGATGCTACTGCGGCTCATCAGGTCATGCATGTTGTGAGACATGTTCCAAGGAAGTTGGAAACATGTTTGTGTTTTTTGCCGCACATCCACGGATGCTTAGGTACCGCAGCAAGGAGAGCCAAAGCATTCCCCGGAAGAGAGCGGCCAACAAAGCCTGCTTGACCTCAACCCCACTCCTACTCTAGCTAAGCTCCTGGAACCTCATATAGTCATTAGATTCCCCCCCCCCTTTACAGTCTCTCTTTGTAACCTCTGCATATGTTGCCACAGCAGTTTGGACTGAGCCTGTACCTTAGGATACACAGCTTTCCACACGGCACAGACGACGTAGAGGTAGGAGGCAATGGACTTCATGGTTGCATAGTTCTGGCAACCAGCAAGGCAGTGTCGCTCAAAAAGGACTACAGTTTAGGTTGTGTGGTTTTAGGCTTGAAGCTTTAGGGATGTAGGGTTTGGGGGTTTAGGGTTTGGGGGTTATCAGTAGGATGTATGATTTGGGGTCTAGATGTTCAGTTCAGGCGTGAGGGTTTCGGGAAGACCCACCTTGCAAGCTTAGGTTGTCTAAAATAATTCTGGCGCTCAGATCGACTCCTTTCAGTACCCGTCATGTGCGTCCCAGCCTTCATACTTGTTTGGAGGTTGCCTTATACAATCGCGGAAAGAGGAGATGGCGCTGAGCCGTCAGCACATATGCAATCCCCCGGGATCATGTCTGTACTTCTTAAGACGTGGCTCTTCATGGTAAAGCCTAAGCCGAGCGGATGAAGCGATGAAGCACTTTAGGGTTTAGGGTTGGATTAGGGTTTGAGAAAGGGTTCATGATCTAGTGCTTCAAACCTAGCACTTGGCCTCATCGTTTTGGTGCTCAGAAGTTCCTGGCTCACCTGTTATGGTCTGATGCCCACACTGGTTTAAGTTGCAGTGTACAGGGCACGATTATTCCCATGTGTCTGTGTTTTCCGTGGAAGCATCCAAATCTGCCAGTTTACAGACGCATCATGGCTGTTGAGATCTTGGGTGGTGAGTTAACCTGCGAATTTCCAATGCTTAGGCTCCCGCCCTCAGCCCCCAACCCCTGGTACCTTGACCTTGCTCCCTGGCCCTTCAGCCCACGACCTGGACCCCGTGATAAACCCTGATTAATGCCCAAATGCTCAACTGACTAATCCCAAAATCCTACATACACGCCTCAGCCCCACTATGGATCCTTACTCTGAATCTTACATTCTACGCAGCATAACGTAGAAGCCGGGGAGCAATCACCTACCATACTCTCTCATAAGCTTCGTATAAAAAGCTTCTACAGCTGTTCTACAGTATACCCCAAAAGCCCGGTTCCAATCGAACAGTAGGCTCTTACCCCACACACATCTAAACCCTAAACCCCTGACCCCCTAAACTCCTAAACCCGTAAACCCTAAAACTATAAACCCCTAAACCATGAATAGTAGTTTCCATTTTCTTTTCCATTATCCCTATAGAACCCCTGTAAACCGAGACCCTAAGCCCTAAACCCTAAACGCCAAACCCTAAGCCCGAAACCCCAAATCCTAAACCCTAAACCCTAAACCCTAATGCAGGCATGAAGCCCACAGGGCAGGATGGCAATGATACCGGGGTGCCTGAGCTTACTTGGCAAGGGGATGTTAGGGTTTAGGGTTTGGGGCTTAGGGGTTTAGGGTTTAGGGCTTAGGGTTTAGGGGTCAGGGTTTAGGGTTTAGGTTTTAGGGTTTAGGGTTTAGGTTTTGGGGTTTAGGGCGAGTTTAGGGTTGGATACTTGAACTTGAGGGCTTGCGGATTGGGGTAAAGAAGCCGGGTTCAGAGTGCAGGATCTGAGGCTTGAGTCCTTGCACCTTGCGGTTTAGGGTTTAGGGTTTAGGGCCAGAGCCAGCTGAGCTGGGGTCATTCTCCCATTTCACGTTCACAGGGTCCCCCTAGGAATGACATTTTTCCGTGACCCCCGAATCATGATTCATCAAGTCTTGTGGCAAAGGATTCCGGAGTGAAGTTCAGATCCTCCCAGGATAACGCCGCTGTGGTGTCGTCTGCTTACAGGGGACAGTTCTACCAATACCCTATAAAACGTCACATAAACCCAGTTTCCATTTAACTGTCCATGTGCTTTTCCACTTGATTCTCCATTTTTGGCTAGATATCCCATTATACCCCTACTCCACCAACACATCAGCATGAGGTTTGCTGACTCCAGTTCACAGGGCCGGTTGGTGCTTCAGGGGGAACCCCATAGAAGCATCTGTACTCTAACATGTTGACTAAGCACCAGTAAGGGGAAGCCAGATACATGATTTCAGTAGTATTGTAGAAGAACAGAGTCCTGTGTGGTTCAACCACCAGGAAAACCACTCATTTGGTATTTTTGGGGTCAAAGTTCCCTGATCTCGTTCTTGAAGTCTCACTTGCTTCTGAGCTTCCAAGTTGAAAATTTCATCTTTGTACCCCTCAATCATAGGTGCCGTGCTGTGGTACACTCAAAAGGGCCATAGAGTAACTCTGACAACTGGTGTGTTGGGCTTGTGTGCCCAGAAACGTCCTGTGCTACATTCGCCTTAAAGCTGGGGGCGTGCCCGGAAAGGAGCCAAACTATAGGAAGCAGCAGAAGTCATAGGCTACCTGCGATTTTGCTTCAGTTAGGAGAGGGGCTCCTAGGGGGCTGTAGGGTGTGGATTCGATCAGAACCAGATGGGGTAGTTTCCCAAAATAGGGGGACCAAAATATAGACTCCCAATATCCTACAATCCTTGTTATGGGGACCCCCAAATAGGTATCCCTAATTTTGGGAACCCTCATGAGCCCCAGCTGGCTGTTGGCCATCCCTTATTCGGTCTGAAATGATCTTGCTTGTGCCAGGGCCGCGATCGCCACATAAGCCGCCCAGAGGGTCCACATATACAACCGTTAGGGAATTGGGACTCATAATTCCTTCTATAGTATGGCATTTTGGGGCCTAATTCCCTAGTAGTCGTATATATGGACCCTCTGGGATAGCAGCAATTCCTTGCGTAAGTCTCCAGGCGCTTTTGTGCATTTCTTAGAGGTCGTTGTGATGGATTGGGGAGTTTGGCAAATGTATTCACTGTCTTTCATGTAGTCCGTTTTGCGGCCGAACCGTATGAATCCTAGAAAGAACTCCAGTTCAACTTGTGGATGGGTTTGCAGGGGATTAGGGTTTCCCTGCCAAACGGATATCCAACCACAAAGTCAAGGTAAAGCGGCTGATACGCATCTGCCGGGAGCTTGGGGAGTATGAGTCAGGGATGCATGCCTTTATTTGATACTTCCCATGCTGCCCATGTAAGCCGTATGTAAGAGTATCCTCCTGGCAACTTCCCACTCCAAAAACTTTTTATTTGTATATACAGTTTAGGAATTAATTGCAGTGTTTCGAGGTTGATTGAGTTCATGTCCCATGACCAGCGGAAGAAGGAACCAAAATCATACCCAACATGCTGCAAAGCTGTGCTCACTTAGGTTCTTGGGTAAGGGCTGTGATCTACCAGGATTCACCCCTAAACCCTCACCTTCTTGGAATGAAGCGTGCAGGAA